TTTCAGTTAACTAAGTATCTCATAAAACTTTTGTCAAAGGAGAATTAAGACTGTATGATGGCAGCAACTGCAGGATCAAATGGGCAGACCTCCAAAACCCTGGAAATTAAATTTAGAAAATTTAACTCTCTGCAAAACAGAAAATTTAAATCCAGTGAATAATTACACTCTAAAACTATTTTCTTCCACACACTGAAATATAAACGAAAATAGCTTTGAACTATCACAGGCCTGCAGGCCTGCTGAAAAGCTCTTAGATTAAGCACAAATGGAATCAAGTTGGATTAATCAAATTAAATGCCATTTTACCTTCATTTTTACTGTATAAAGTGGAATGAGGCAGCCAAAACAAATGATCAAAACACTAAATATCCTAGCATTGACTGCACATACAAGCAATTGAATAAATTTTTACACACTGAGACGAGAATCTAACAAACCAAAATGATTATACTGATTCAATCATCATCACCTAGTGCTAATTTAGCAAGTGGCAACAGTTTTTTATATTAATTTGACCAATGAATTGTCTCATGTTGAGTGAAAAACTCAGAATTCTGCAAGAACAGCACCCAGTTCCAGACAGCGATATTCGTTTACTCTCAGGGTGTAGTTCTCTTTGAACTGTGAGCTTTTCTTAAAGTAAATAAAAGCTCCATCCCATTGGACTGGACGTAAATGTGTTAAAAAAAAAAAGGGAAATGCTTGCACAAAACTCCTCTGCTATATCAGAACTGAAACAGCTGCCTATTTCCTCCTAATATGCAGCTAATATAGATCACTGTAACAATTATATTAACTGCCTAGTCTGTAACCGCTCAATTAAAAAAACGGGATGAAATCTATTCTATTCATAGATGAAACATATTAACTAGCATGTCTTAACATATAAAACATTTGCAGACCTTTCATACTAACAGTTGCAGGACCATGAGTTTTCTCTTCACAACATGGCTGTAAAGGTCTGAGACTGAAAGACTGTGTTTCCATGGGAGGTTTAAATTTATTGAACCTGACATCAGCAAAGGCCCTGTAAATTAAAATTTGACCAAATACTGTTCTAATGAAAAGCAAACTTGCACAGCAATTTTCTGTCAAATGAGTGCTGTTCACTAAGACTTCACCAAGACTACTCCAGAGTCAAACAAGAACATGAAAATGTCCTGCACGACCATGGCCATAGTCCTGCAAATGCCAAAGTATTTCCCAGTCTAGAACAAGCACTCCCAAATGTGCTTTTTATGTCCCCCAGGATTTTCACTGGGTAGGGACTAAAGTTAAAGATTAATGGCCTTTGACATATTCTTCCCAAAATAAGACTGGTTTCCTATCTCTACACATTAACAGGGTGAGGGGGGAACCAGCAGTGTATATAAAAAAATCTATAAACACAAACAGCTAGAAGTCAAACATATTTTAGATATGACTCTGTCCTTGCACTTGGCAACCAGGCACTCCACTTACAAATTAAATCAGAGCTGCTTAATAGCTGGTAAAAGCCTGGTATTTTCTGTCCCATTTGAATCACTCTGGACAGGAAGCAAAAAATCAGGCTGTTGGTATGTAGTAAAATCACATAAATAGAAGTGGCAGGATAATGAGAAATTAAATATCCCACTAAAAATGTGTCGCAATTATGAAGCTGATACTGGTTAAGCATGTTTGGGAACATTAAAAATCCCAATTCTAGTACATAAAGGATAAATAGAAACTCATTCCTTTCATTCTGTTGTCCAATTCCTGTGTTTGTATAACTGAAGGACTGAAAAACAAATCAAGCATGAAGAAAAAAAATCTGTAACTTCTATTTACTAGGCAAAAGTGAACTGCATTAGAGCACACAGAAGAAAAGTTTACAAGGAGGGGATTAAACAGACACTTAAGCATAAAGAAGGGAAGGCATAAACCACCTCTGGAGTCTGAAACTGCAGGAACAGAGGCAACACAGAAAGGCAAAACTGGCAGGAAAGCAAAGAGAGACAAGGAACTGGAAAGAGAAAATGGATACTTAAGAAGTAGCAGAATGTGAAACAAACCAGAGAAATGACAGTATATTCACTTTTTCAGGGCAAGTAAAATCATATTTTAAGAATTATGAAGTTCCAAAAGCTACTGAGACAAGCTCTGCCACTTGTTCTAACACACAGGGTGGTAAAAAAAAAAAAAAAAAAAAAAAAAAAAAAAAAAAAAAAACAAACTTGAAAAAAAGGAGGAAACTAAAGGAAATTGAATGATTTCACATCTTTCTGATGCTGAAATAAATGTATCTGAAAACTTGTTACTTTGAAAGTTAAGATTCTGCATGTGCAGTGCCTCGTCCTTTTTCAGCCTACAGCTGTCATGATTTCAGATTTGGTTTCTAAAGGTGACAAACTCATGCAAAGATTTTTCACACTTTAAAATACCATCTGGATTTCAGTGCACAGTTAGGAAACCAGGTCACCAGGAGATAAGATACCTGTTTGTCACAGTTTGGTTTGATGTATTACATGATCCAAAATTGCTTAAAGGTTTTGGCACCTTAAAAATAAATGAATACTAGAAATCAAGTTCCTCTAGTACAGCCAAGTGAGGTAATGTTGGCAACAGGTAAAGTACACTCTAAAACATACTTAGCTTTACATAGAAATGCTAATTTTATCATAGTCTTCTCCTTCTCCCATATATATAACTGATGAGCAATGAAAGTGAAAAATACAGTTTCCTTCCAAAATCTTGTAATTAAATAATCTCAACAGGCAAAATTTTGATGTGCGATTCCGTTTGTGAAAAAAAAACAAAACCAAAAGCAACCAAAAAAACCAAAAAAAAAACCAAAAAAAGAAAACAAAACAAAAAAAACCTCCTCCAAACCAAACTAAAACAAAATCAAACGCCTTCCGAAATAGTACTACTGCTTTTCAGTATACTACTTGTAACAACAATAAATCACATTTTTATTGTATGTGTGTGACAGTGAGCAATGCCTGTTCAAAGTAATCAAGACAGGAATGATTTTTCAGATGGAAAACAAGGTAATCTTCAATATCAGAATTAAAAGTGGGTTCATTTATTCAATTAGATTTGTTTTTAAAGCAACAGGTTAATCCTTTGGAAAAACTTGTAAAATGTGGATCCTGAAACAGAAGCACAGCTGCTCAGAACAGACCAATGCACTCCACCCAATTCAAACTTCATTCAGGTAACTCCTGTCTCTAATTAAAAAGTCTTCCCCAAAATTACATTAGATGTAATTCCAGGAAAACACGATTTCCCAGATTTTCAGATACTTACAAAGGGCACTATCCTTTACAAAACTTCTTCCCTGGCTACATTTATGACAGTTTTGCTTACCTTTAAAAATAACAGAAACGATAGGATCTGGTTTCCCAAACTTGGTTTTAGGGATATTGGTAGCAGATTCCACAATCACCCGAAGCATTGTTTCCTTTTTGTCTAAATGTTGACTAATACCGAAAGAATTAAATCTTCAGTTTCACAGTCCTTAACTTCTGGACTGAAATGCTAGCAGGAAGAGGAGGCAGGGAATTACTGGTTTACAGCAAAGGAGGTCTATGGGTGGATCTATGACGGACTAGCTGCTCAAAGCCCCGGGAAAAAAACCACTCCTGTAAATTGACACCAGCTTCTGTCATGCTGCACAGAAAGAGCTCTCGCTAGTGAAATCCTGCAAAGAAAGGCACACTGCAAAAACTCAGGTTTCTGGCTGCTGCTTTTACTCTTAAACTGATACATCTCTGGTCAGAAACCAAGGCTAGAATAAGCGTTAAGCGACAGGAACATTAAGCACGACTCTAGAACTCGATCTAAACTACATCTGCCTCTCGGTATACCAAGGTATGAAATTCCACAATGGCTTATTTCCCCCACCCCCCGCCCCCGTATTTTTAGAACTTCATCGCTCGCAAATGCTTTTGGTTTTTCTCCGTGCCAGCCCAGTCAGAAACTGGCGATGATCCCAAAAAACAGTGCAAGTCCTCCCCCTCCTGTTGTATTCCGGAACGACACTGCAGCTTCCTCATGGAACATCCCGGAGATAGTAGATTAATAGTAGAATTATCGAAATCTGTATCCATGACTAAAAATTAAAAAGTATCAAGGAAATGCGTGCAAAAAAAGAAATTAAAAGTGACAAGACTCTCTTTATAGAGGCATATGAATGTTTTGTCTTAAACACGTGCACAAACACTGCGGTAACATGAACGGGGGAGCACTTACATGACAAGCACAAGAGCTCTGAGCTCCCCTGTGCTCAGTTAGTTCTTCTCAGCTGTGAGCAGAAGCAAAAACCCGGGAGGTTCCCGCTGCCACTGCCACACGTGTCCCCGCGTCCCCAAGGAGAGAGGAGAGGGAAAGCCAGCACGAGGGAGCAAGTGAGAGCAGTTCAGCCTGGTGTTTACACGGTCACATGAGACCTATCCTAGTTTACGTTGTAATTTCTACAATTATTACGTTTGGGGTAGATGGAGAGGATTTCTGAAGAAAAACCCTACGTGTTCAGGGAGGAACGAGGACACAGACACGTCAGAGACAGCACTGAGGAGGCCCTGCAGACTCGACCCGAGCTCCACCCGCCGGCACCCGCTGCTGGCCAAGCACCGCCGCTCACAGGCGGCGGGGAGCCCCGGGCAGGGACAGCACCGGCCGGGCGGAGACACGAGAGGGCGGTGACACGAGGGGACACCGCCCCTGCCGCCGCCGCCCCGCGGGCACCATCCGGAAACCCCGGAAGTGACGGCCCGGAGCCGCGGGATTCAAACTCCCGGAAGCGGCACGGGCCGGGGCCGGACAGAGCCGCCGCCGGGCCGTGCCCCGCACCGGGCCGCGTCCCCTCACCGGGCCGCGCCCCGCACCGTGACTCGCGGCCCCTCTGAGCCCCGCGGGATCCGGGAAGGGCCGCGCCGCCTGCGCTCGCCTCCAGCTGTCGGAAGCCTTGTCCTGCCCGCTAGAAGTGATCGCTGTTCCGTAGCGCCTCGTTCGGTTTGTACAGGCGCCTAAAGATGAACGCCAAGACCGCCATAGATCGAATTATTGGCAAGGGGGGCCTGAAGTTGGGCAGCTCCAGAGCTGACGGTGGGCTCGAGAAGGGTAAGCGGGAGGGCGCTGCCCCGCGGAAGTCCATGGAGGAAGTGGCCACAGGCAAAGGCAAAGTGCCGGACCCGGAGCGGAGCGAGCTCCTGCAGGTGAGCCGGGCTCTCCCCGAGCCAGCGCCGGCCGGGTCCCGCGGATACGGCACTCGGCCTCGGGAGCCCCACCTTTCCTCTCAAAACTTTTGATGTCACAACTGGTTTAGGAGTGTTAGACAGTCCAGACAAACTATTAGTTTCACACCTTCATTCTCAGATATTTTTCAATGACAGCAGAGCTAATAAAATCACACTCATCTGACAAGGCTGGTAAATACAAAGACTTGAGGCCAGAGGTGCCCGTTAGCCCATTAAGAGCTGTCCTCATGTGTCCAATAGAACGCGTCTCAGAGAAGTATTTTAACCACTTCCTGCAAAGAGTTTAACGTTTGAAAACACTTGGTTAAGAACATGCCAAAAAGTGCAGAGTGTTTGTTTGAATTGAATTGTCAAGCTGCCACTCAGCTATGGGTAAATGAAACTGTAATTGGGTCGTTACATTATTCTTCCATTGCAGCTAAAGAGCAGAAACTAAGACACAACAAGGTATTGAAGCATCTGTACATCTATATGACTGTTCCCCTCGAGGTAAACCTGTGGTTGCAGAGAGAGAAGTTCAAGACTTAATAGGTGACCTAGTTGCAGCCTGTCAGGATTCCCAGAAGGACAGGGAAACTTTAGCTGGACTCTAGAAAAGGATACAACTAATGTGGACTAGGCATACTAATATTTCTAGGCCACTCTTTTTAATGAAAGGGCTTGTCATGTTTCTGTGCCACAACATCAGTTGAGAAGTCTTAAGCCAAGGATGAGCTATGGCTGGGCAGCTGATGAAGTTTTGGCTAGATTCCTTAGTGTATTTGCTGAGTCTGTTGGTGTTTGCTGTTGGCTCAGTGTTGGTTACTTTATACTAGTTTCCTATAAACTAGGAAAAATAGGTGCAAAATCACCGCTGTGTTTGATACACTGGATACTCTTTGGTGTCACTACTTTAATTTTAGTGAGCAGTGGTGTTTAACCACTCCCTGATTGAGGCTCCCTCAAAATCACTTGGTTTCTGTTTCTTTTTCTAATGACTTGATGTCAATATGCAGGATTTCAATGTCAGCCTCAGCAGAATTAAATGCTATCACATCTGAAGCTCATGCAGAGCCCCATTGCACCAAATGCAGTACTAATTGTGGGTAATGATTACCTGTGCTGGAGGCCTACTGGAAAGAGAGTGCATGTTGAAAATATCTACTAAAACACATTTTGAAACTACAGGGCCAGATAACATGGAAAACAGGATCCTTCTCCTGAATGCTTTATTATAACTCTTCTGTGACAGTAGCAGTTTGCAAGAAGGCTCTGCTGCGTCCCAAAAGCTACCAAATATGCTAAGAAATATACTAAGAAATGTAGCACCAACCTCTTTGCTGGAAGTGTTTTGGAGTTCTTGTACTACTTTTGTTTGAGGGTCATGTAATGTTGTGATTATTCAAAACTGAGCACCTACCAAGCCTGTGAAACTTGGTTCTTTGCATTCTCTCCTTGTTTCATCTATTTCAGACTGGTTTTACTATCACTTGATATATTTCAGATGATCACTCCAGTATTGTCTTCTTTGAGTTAAAAGTAATTTTCTCAGCTAATTAAAGGCTAAGAGAGATCTTGGAAAGTGAGATATTCTTATCATAGAATCATAAGGTCATAGAATGGGTTGGGTAGGAAGAGACCTTAAAGATCCCCTAGTTCTAACACTTTCCACTAGACCGTGCTGCTCAGATAATCTCAAACTACTGTAAACTTGCTAATGCATTTGATGCATAGACTAAAACGTACTCTTTTTTTATTCTGTTTCATTTAGAAAATACTTTTGCTTGAGAAAGAAAAAGAAAAATACAACCATCTTCTGGGAGAGAAGGACAGAGAAATCCAAAACCTGAAAGACAAGCTTCGGTCCAAAACCAAGAACAGTGAAGTGTCCTTACTACAAAATCAACTAGAGGAAAAAACAAAGGAAGCAGAAAGGAGAGAACAGTTACTTTGTTCTCTATCAGAAGAAATTAACAGGTTAAAATGTGATTTATCTGCAGTCATGGCAAAATGCTCTGATCTTGAGAACGAAGCCAGTAGTACTTCTCAGGTATCCCAGGTAAGCACTGAAGAAGTATTGCAATTGCAAATTGGAATTGGTGCCTACTAAGCACCAATAGGATGGTTTATGAATTTTCATACAAGCTGTGTTGCATGCTGAAATATTTTTGTATGAAGCGAGATGGTGTCCAGATTGAACTCTAAATGAGGAGCAGTCAGAGAGCACACTTCAGGCAGCACAGCTGGGGAGGGAATTCTCTCCTGCTGTATTGCAAGGCTCCGTGTTCAAGGTCACACACAGGTAGTGTGACCTGTGATACTACTGGGATGATCCACTGTTGCTTAGGCAGGCACTGTGCCCTTCTCAGATTTGTGTGCTCAGTGATTAGACAGAGTGAGAATGCAGCAGTGATAAGAGACATGGGGCACTAATAAAGACAAACTAAGCTCCTTGCCTAATTCAGCTTCAGTCATGAGATTATCTTTCTTCTCTCTGCTCTTATGAATCTTCATTTGTCTCAGTTGTTAAAATTAATTGTCTTTACTTTCTGTGGCATTACACATGGTAAATTCTTCAATGTGGCACAGGATAGGACAGGAATAATGAGTTTCAAGTTTAATAATGAGTTTCAAATAAGGGTTTACAAGTCCATTTAGGGTTCTACAGTTGTTTTTCCACCCTGCCCCATTCTAATGTTCTTTGGAAAATGCAGTAGTAGCTCTATGAGTGGCACAGGGAAGTTGTTTAGGTACAGGTGCCTAAAAATAGGAGGCTGTAAGTCTTTCTTTTCCAGCTTTTGACCTGCAGATGGTGCTGGTTCCCTCCACTCCGCACGGGAGTTGAGCAATTTCTAGAAATTCTGCTATAGCCAAATACATAACAGAATATCTTCATCTACTACTTTTGAATGGTAGCACATGTATATATAGTACTTCTAATAATGCAGTTTATTGAGAAATACCACTTTAAATGTAATGTATTTATTTTAAATTTCAACACACTTTGAACTTCATTAGAGGTGTTAAAATGTGTATTAAGTCAACAGGTTTTCATAATATTTTTGTCAACAAACCACCAAAATATTTATTACTTTAAAACCATAGTTTTCTTTTAAAATTGTGACTGATTTATCAACAGAGGACAGTGATGTTTTACTTGGAAAACTTGAAAACAAGTCTAGCAATGCTACTTGAAACTGCTAGGTGGCATACTAGCTCTGAAATGGAAACAACAGCTTTATGACACAATTTTAAGAAAGTTTTTACTGAGGCAGGACTCTGATGTTCCTAGAAAAAAGTTCAGTGTCTCTAAATCCTATTTTTCTTAGGAAGTGTTTAAGTTTAATAATTATATTCAAAGTTCTGTATTTTTCAGCTATAAATTCTGTTGTAAATCATATTCCAAGATCCATAGAAATATGTTGGGAAAAAATATAGTTTGGATTTGTGTAGTAATGTACATTTTTTTTCTCACTGAAGTTCCCTCTGACTTATACCTACACAATTTCACAACCACTTTGTATCCTGCAGAGAATTTACATTTACATGTGGGAGAAACATGCCTGTAACTCCAGAAGTCCCCTACTCATAGATGTACATAAGTGATACCCACTGTACTGGGGATCAGGCTCAGGAAATCAGGCAATTTGTCCTTGTGCTTGCAGACAGGTCTGCATGATTTCCCAGATGTTCACAGTCTTCCTGTTATCCCAGGGAAGCATGGAGGTCTCTGGCTTTCCTCAACTTCTCCTGTATGTCTGGGTCATTGTCAAATGTATGAGGATACAAAAATAGAAGAAACATTTACCTCTCCTTGTGTACTTAAATAATACCCTTAAATATCTTCATTTTTCAAAACCTCTTTGTGGAACACCCTTCAGGACTTCCAAGACAGCAGTTCAGCAGAAAATACATTATGGTTTCCTTAGGAAATGTTTAAAGGTAACTATGAATTTCAGACTTATGGAATAAATTCCATGTAAATCTTTGTCCCATATTTTGCAGAAGAGTCTATTTTAAATATCTGAAATGGCTTTTTACATAACTTGGATCCTTCAAAAAATTCCAGCAACCAGCTATAAAGATATTTAAACACAAAAGGCACATCTCTTTTAATTTTTAAATGCATCTGATTTAATTTTTAAAATATTCTTCTGCTATTTATGTGAGATTAATAGCTGTACAGGAGCAGCTTTGCTGTTTCAGACATCTGTTTTAAACAACACTAACAAGTTGTTCTTTGTCCGCAGGAAGCTGCAACAAACAGCACTGAAGTTGAAAGACAATTGAAAGATGTAAGTTTCCTGTAAATTTCAAGCACATACCATCTGTCTTGAGCTGCAGAAGAATGTAAATTATCTTCATGTACATTTTGGGGTAGTATGGGACCTCAGAGGGTATGTTTCTCTCTAAAATATAATCCCTAAAATTATTTTGTGACAAGGCAATAATTTAAATTTAAAACCAGAAAAACTTGCAAAAGAAAAATTAAGATTTCCATTATCTTTCAAAGACCTTGCTTGGAACATCAGAATAAAATGGTTGCTGTTGCTGAGAACTCAGAAGCCTCTAGGAACCTGACACTGCCTGGGGTAGCATGAGGTTGGATTGGAAACCTCCTGAGGTCCCTTCCAAAATGAAAAATTCTATGAGCCAAGCAGCTAAAAAATCCATGTCCTTGTTCTTACAAATTAAATTGCAATGATACAGTTTTTTATTTCATTTTCAGGGTCTGTTATTTTATATTTTATTTTATATTTGAGATTGAAAAGTTAATTCTTCATAATCTAGGCATGACTCATTAAAGCCTTTGTTCTTTAAGTAATTTTCCCATTTATGCAGTTTTAGCTTATGCTCAGCAACCTGAATTAACTTTCCAAACGAAAATGGATTTATTTATTTTTTGTATAGATTACTACAATTTGCAGCAGACTTATCTAGTTTATCTTTAATAACTTCTAATGTTTTGAAGACATAAGAAAATACTTTTAAAAGCTGATTAATTACCAGAGACTTTTTTGTTGTTCTTCTGTTTCTTTTTATGAAGGCTCTGGAGAAAAATCAGCAGTGGCTACTGTATGACCAGCAACGGGAAGCATATGTCAGGGGACTGCTTGGAAGGATCTTTGAACTTGAACAGAAGGCAGAAATGGCTAGCCAGCAAGAATCTAAATCAAATTCAGAAGGTATCAACTTCATTTTTACCCCCACAAGTGACCCAAACCATAATTATCTATAGAAAAAATTTTTTTAAAACAAATTATAGCACACTTAAAATCAAGACTTTGTTCTCAATGCTTTGGCTGCTTAATGGTAAAACTTGGTTAAATAATATTCCTCTGCTTCCTGTTATCTAGCTATGTTACTTGACCAAGAGTACTTCCTGTTCTTATCCACTTCAAAGATGGTTTTAACAGCCTTGACACTCTATTAGCAACCTCTCTGTTTGTGGAAAGTGTTGAGGCAAATAGATGTATGTCTCCCATCCTTCAAAGTACACTTTCAGTAGACATAATGGAAGCATTAAGGATTTATTAGCTAGGTGTGGATCAGATTTTTTTAAATTTACTTTTTTCAAAATAAATATTATAAAAATGACTCAAGATTGCCATGTTCTTTACTCACCTGACAGTTGTTACAGGGCAAGAAAACCTGTGATAGGTTTTGGCACCTCTCCAAAGCAGTGTTTCACAATAAGGATCTGGCCACCTCCAGCTCACTTCCTTGCTGTGCAGTTCCTCAATAAGGCACACCCTCTCAGTATTAATAAAATTAAAATCATATTAAGCAGAAGAACCAGAAGGTATTGACTTGCTTTTCTTATTACCAAATTATTGATTTCATACATGCTGCAACTGCAATTTACCTGCAAGGTAAATTCACTAAACAGAACTAGCATCATGTGGAGTAGGAATATACCCACACACTTGCCATTAATAATTCATGGACAGTGGCTTCGTTTCTGTATTGCTGTTTGAATCTTTCTGGAGAACAGTGAAATATCATCATAATCTTGTTTCGGTGCTGTTCAGAAATCTATGAACAGTATTTTTAGAGGGAGGCAGACTCAGCCTCCCTCTAAATGTTCCACAGAGTTACTGCAGTCAAAGCTTTGCCACAAGAGCAACCAGGAGACTTAAAGTCAGGGTGTAAGAAAGTTCCTCTCTTCAAGCAGCTAGGCAGTAGCAGAAATCCAAGTTTCTAAGAACCTAGCTATACAAGTTGAAAGTATATATACGAAAACCTTTTCTGGGCAAAAACTTGGCCTTTCTCTGAGGGTGTCGCTGCCCTATAAAGGAGTTTTGCTAATGAGAAGATAGGGCTTAGTTCATAGCTGAGGGAAGGGAGAACATTCAAGCAGGAAACTCTCCCTAGTAAATTACACTTTGAATAATTAGGGTAAGTCTTCAATAGGAAAGGTATCAAAGTCACAAAACTTACAGTGCCAAAAATCAGCAAAGCCCATGAAATTCTGCATCCCTCATTCTGCTTCTGCATATATTTTGTACTTCTCCTGAATTTTTGCAGTCTGTCTCTTAATTTTTTCCTACTTATTAAACTTTTCTTGGGTCAACAAGCAGAAATTTTCTGACCTTGGTTTAAGTAATAGTTGCTACCCAAGAAGTAAGCATTTTTAATCAAAAGAACTGTCATGGTCCTTTCTATTTACTATTTAGAAGTAAATTATGGCATACTGTTTGGAAAAGATGGTCTGCAAAAGACAGTGGAAGGTCTGGCTTTGGTCAAAAAGGCTGAATCTATCCCATCCCCAAAGGTATCTCTGGGGAGCGAGTAATGTCAGCAGCATGGCTAAAGAGCCTAAAAATAGAAGTAGGAATCCAGTGGTTTTCTGTCAGATTCCCATGTGTCAGTATGATGCATGAGGCCTTAGAAGAACTGTGTTTTCCAGTAAGTATATTGGTAAGGAGACTTAATGTATTTTCAATACTGAAAGCTGTTTCAACCAAAGTTTGGTTCTAATCTGAGCTGTGCAATAGCCTACTATTTCAATTTCTATTAATAAGCCTTAAAATGCTGTTAAAGATTCAGTGCTCTGATTTTTAAGTGGTTTTTTTTTTTCACATTACTAACTCAATTATTTCTGACTCATTAAGGTCATCTACAGGAGGAAAGGCAAGAATACTGTGACCAGCTGTTTCTAACTGAGGGTCATCCTGAGACAGAAAGACGCACTATAACCCAGCTGAGATCTGAACTGAACGAACTTAAAAAGACATATGAAGAAACACAAGGGGAAATGATGAGTTTAAATGCCTTACTGCAGTCACAACGGGTTGCTGAAATGAAGACTCGAGAAAATGAAAATAAAATGAAAGAGAAAGCACAAAGACTAAAACAGGAAAATGAAACTATCAAAGAACAGCTCCGAGAAGAAAAAGAAAAGTCTGAAGATCTTTTATGTCAGGTAAGTGGATGGATTTGGAGGTTTGAGATCATTAGCAAAGAACCAAGATAGATGAAAATTCATAGCTAATCAGATGGACCATCCCTCTCTCTGATAACTGTTCTTCACATAGATCTAGACTCATGTCCTTGTGGTTAACACTGAATTGTTTAAAGAAGAAACTTCTTTGTTCATTTATTTCTCTAGTCTTAAGGGACACAAAATAGAAGGGACAAAATACTGAATTGATTCTAATATAGTTCATCCTTGAGACTAATAGTAAATGAGAATAAGAAAGCAAAAGAACCCCAACATTTTATCAGGTGCTCATAACTATGGAATAACACTAATATTTGCTGCCACCTGGCTGCTAAAATACAACTGATATTTGAAATATGAGAATAAAATTTACTAGACACCAAAGTAGGCCAAAAGCAAAACAACCCTTAAACTCTCTACAGACAGACTGCTTCTCATTGGTTAATAATGATTAAAATATGTTTATTTTATTTTATTTTATTTTATTTTTTGAAGCTGAACAACAGTATTGTCATAAAAGTTGATACATGCTGAAAGCAGAGGGTATTTTAATGTATGCATTTACTTAATGACTATAATATAGTACTTTCTCACCCTTAAACTTGTTCTCTTATATTAAAAAAAAGGGCATTGTTTGTTTTTATTAACATCATATTATGTTAGTGCAAACATAGGTTTTGTGAGTATATTTTTGTCAGCATCCTGGCAATCACCTAGGAGGCTTCCATTTTTGGTTTCTTTTTTTTTGACAATAACATCATCCTGCATTCCCCCTTCTTGGTGCAATAATAATTTTTCACTAGGGTTTTCCTTGGGGAAGTAGTGATTTGAATTGAGTTTGGTTCTTGCATAACAGACATACATTTTCTGTTGGCATTGGAATGCAAGAGTTTTCTTCCATCTCATTATAAATGAATTCTTTTTAAGCTTATTAACTATTGTATATGGAAGTTGTTTGTTACAAGTGTTCATCTGCCTTGTAGGTGCAACTCCTTCGTAAATCATTGCTCAGACAGGAGGCAGAACACACAAGAATAGCTTTGCTGGAACAACAGGTACATCATTATGTGCTAAAGTGCTGGTATTTAATCTGTGTTGGGCACAAAGTCTTTCTAGACTAACTTCATGTTTAAGAATGATTAGTATATCAAATAAAGTAATGCTAGGCATGAACTGTACATAATCTCTTGATGCTTTCAAAAATTTTGACATGTGTCAGGAGGAAAATCTGTAACCTTGTACAATAAGAGGGTATGATCAAACCTGATGCTGTTTTCTCCACAAGCACTTGTTCAACAGGTAAAGCCTCAGATAAGGCACAGGAAACATCCTAAAACTAACCACCTAATTAAAGTTTCATAATATATTCTCAATATAGTTATAGAAATAGTTGCATTGCCATATTTTCTGTTTTCTTTATTTGAAATTGAAACACCCTCCAATCAAAAAAACTTTAAACTGTACCTCTTCTAAGGGAGATTTTAATAACTGGGCATGTGTGAATTTCACTGTAATGAAAGCAACAGCAATTTCTAATTTTTCATTTAAATTTTCCTTTTAATTCCATTTTAAGATGTTATTGCAGAACAAAACTGACTTTAAGTATATAAATGGGAAACATTCTTCCCAGTTCATACTAACTTCAAATTTTCACTTTGTTGGGCTGTCAGATCCAGATGTGTACCACAGACTTAGAGAACGGGAAGCTTGATCGCCAGAACTTGAAGCATGAGTTAAGCCATGTTCTCAAGGAGCTGCGCAAGGCCAAGGAGAAAATAACCCGCCTGGAACCTCTGGTATGTACTGAATATGCAGCTCATAGGTGAATTCACTCAGGGATTTTGCATAAACATGCATCTTCTTGCTTTGGGATCTTGTTTCAAACACTAAGTGTCCCTCCATCCTTTATGTCTGTTTCCCCAAGGCGCAGAGCCCTGTGCAAGCCAGGCAGGCACTGCTTTTCTCTCCAGCAAGCACGGAGCAGGAGCACTGCAGCAGGAGCTCCAGAACAGTCAGGGTGCTGAGCAGGGAACGCTCTGTATTCTGTATCACAGTGTGTGACTCAGTTTTGTCCGTTGCACCATGACAAAGATGCAATGTGCTTCCACTCAGACTTGTTGCTGGTGAAGGAGGCACAGTCCTTAGTGCTGTAACACACCCAAGGCTTGTGTGCCATCAAGCCTTTACTATATTATCCTACAGTGTTTGATCAGTGCATGCATGCCCCAGTCTTACAGTGAAGCTCCTCCTTTTCCAGAAACTCCGGGAATCTGGACGTATGGAATCACAAGAAGATTTGCAAGCTGTATTTGACAAGAAGCTGACCACATGTGACAGAAGTCCCCCCCTGAAACATTCCAGCTGCCTTGATGAAAGTTTTCTCGAGTGTCCCAGATGTAAAGTGCTATATCCAACAAGCCAACATAGAGAATTACTAGCACACATTGACTTCTGTACAGCTTGAGCTCCAAATGGACTTACTATCTTTGCTTCATATATGCTGCCAATATGCCTGACAAAAGATCTTTTAAAGCTTTTTTCTTACAGTTGTATAAACAACTGCTGATTTTATAATTCAGTTTCACAAAAACAGTATTAACATTATAATTTGGCCTCAGTATTTTACCTCATGTTTTTGCAAAACAGCTACTGCATTTTCTAGTTGCAAACAGAAATATTTTTCGAGTTAGGAATATTTTAAATAGTAAACTACTGACTTTTTTTTTCTTTTTGCACTATTAAATGTAAGAGTAGTAAAAGCATAATTATTGTGTCAGACTATATTTTAGTTTTGGCATATCCAGTTCTTGGTTGTTGAATCCTTATGATTGTGCTTGTACCTTAACTGACAAAAATAGCTGCAAAAGATTTTTGGCCCTTGTAGGTGCACTATATATATATATATATTTATTTATACATGGTGTGCATATATATGTGTAGTGTGTATAGTATATACAGACATGTGTTATATATCATATATATGTGGAATATCAACATCTTGATACATAAAAACTCAGGAGGGCCATGTTAGAACTTTGCTGCTTAAGACTGATGTTCAAACCATTAATCTTAAGTAGCTGATTATCCTGAACCACCATCAGGGGTGACTAAAATGCTGACCAAGGTTTAACCTCAGAAAAAACAACTTCTTAGCAAACAAAAACTTCCTTGGTGCCAAAGAAAATTTATATTTCAGACAATGTCAGAGGCCATTTTTTAATTTTGCATATAGAATTACGCTGAATTAAACTTGTTTTGCTTCTGTATTTTAGAGGTTAAAGTTGGGAAATGTCAAGTTATTCAACCTTAGATTTGACAAATGTCCCAATGTGCAGTTTTTAACAAATTGCTCCAGTGTATTTGAAGTGTCACTGTATTTTGGATTATACAAAACACAAATTAATGACAAATTCTGGCAACAAATTAGAAACTGGTAAAAAAAATCCCTAGTGGATTTGCAATTGCAGTGTTATTTTTCTCTAGCACTTACTGTAAACTTGAATGTGTTGTGAGCATTTTGTTCCTTGCACATGTAGTGAAACCCCAACAAGAAGTTACTTCTGTGGAAATTATTAAAATGGGGAAATTTTACAAAGATGCTCAAGTTAAGAACAAATTTGAGCATTTTACAAGTTTGTGGTTTGCTGAGGACACACAGGCACCCAAGGTGTCTCTTTCTCTGGCCTGCTGATTCTGATTACTAGCTGGTGTCAGCTTTTTCCATTGTGCTTTGCTGCAAAACTGTGCTTTTACCCATAATGTTCACCTTAATCCCTGATGGTTAAATCTTATTCTTAAATATGAAGGTGTTTTCCAAGTTACTGAAAATAACTGATAGTATCAAATGATGTTATTCTCAATTCCAGTGCTCATGAGATAGAAAATACTAAAAGGTATTATCTTTATATCTGAAATATCTCTGCCAGATTTATTTTATTAGCCATTATCTATCCACTTATCAATTTCATTGACTGTGTCTCAGGCTAATCTTTGTATTTGACAATTTGCTCAATTGTTAGCAACAGATTTTCTGACCAAAGATATGATAAATTAATGAGTAAAACAGAAATTGTGCTTCAGAATCTTAAGGTTTTGTCATGAGGGAAATTGTCTTAATTTCATATATTATAAAAAATCTTTTCCTTCACGATAACTATGCTTTTCATTACAGCCTAATAATTTTAATCTCTAATTAAACTACTTTTAAAAGTTTAAGTTTGTCTTTGAACAACACCTTAATCAGCTAGTATTCTATTCCCAGCTGCATACTCAGCATAATTTCTGCAAAAGGAAATCCTTATCTTTTATGTATTATAAATGAAATAGGTTTGCCTACTACAGGTCAGAACTCTTCAGTAGTTCTGAGGCTTTCTTAAATTAGCATAAGCCACTTCCACATTAGAAACTGGTACTGCAGAGGGAGACTCGGAAATTTCATAATTTGACAATGGTAAAAAAGTTTTGTTCATTCCACATTTCTGAACTTTAACAATGGATTTAGTCCTACCTGATGAATTTTACACCTAAGCACAAAAAAACCCTTGCTGATAAATTTTTACAGGTCATTATTGTGGTATATGTTGCAAAATACCAAAATGACATTCCAGTGAAGTAAAACACTTACTTGGAAAGCAGACCCACAAATACTATTGTCATCACCTACATGTAATTAAAACATACTATAAAACTCCCAACTTCGTAAGGTATGCAAATCATAATGCTACTTTTTTTTCCATTCCTTAGAAGCTAAGAAATCTCAGATTTTTTTTTCCCCTCAAAGTTAACAAAGGAGATCCTCTGCTGCTTCTCTCTTTAGTTATATGTGGAGAAGAGAAGAACAAAAAATTCTCAACTTACTGGTAAGAATTAATTAGCTGTAAGTATAGTTCTTTGTAAGGAAGGAAGCAGCAGCAGTGTTTTCATTACTTCAAACACTTTGGGTTTACATTTTCAGGAGCCTTTTTCTGTTATGTCCCTTTCAAGTAACTGAATTTCAACCTACCAGAAAGACTGCATTATTTGAAGCTATTGATTTAGGGAAGCTTGGGGACTAATACAATGGTTTAACAATAGTAGCCTATTTATAAATCTAGCTTTCACACTGTTCTTTTTAAGCAAATTGAATGGTTTTGATGCAATGTTGGGTGGCTGGAAAGACAGCTAAAACTCCACTTTTTTTTTTCCATAAGAAGAGCTGCTTGTGAAATAAAAACTGAAAGATGGTTCTGTTATTTTTCTTATCCATGAATCAACTTCTAATACTTTACTTACTTGTGTAGCTTTTAGTGTCAGTTTTGATAACATTCTTTCAGAAGGTTATGTTGATTTTGAGTATCTTGAGTACTTCAAGAACAATTCAGACTAATATGAATGTAGTAGAAGTCTTTCAGATTTCTGATCAAATTCATGGAAGAGCCAGGCTTATCCAGTCTAGAAAAAAACATGAAAAATTACAATTTCATACAGAGGAAAGAAAAAATAAGTCTTCCACTGCTCAATAAAAGAGTAACATGTTCAAAATTGCAACAGATAAGGAAAATCTTTCTGGTGGTTGGAGTAGATGAGCAGTGAAACATATTGCTTACAGAGGCTGTAAAATCTCCACCGCTGGAGATTTATGGGGACGCTTATGTAACTGCCTAAACCATCCCAGACAGGCGAAGCTGCCTTGGCTCAGGGACAACCACTGATTTCTCACAGTGCCTTGAAGCCCCTTTTTTAATGGCACATAAAGACCTGCAAGAAAAAAATACACAATAAGATGTAAATAAAAAAAGCCAAAATGGTTCTGCACTGACTTCATCTTCTGTAGCATGTAGTGTTATTTCACTACATGCAAAATTAGTAGCTACTGTACCAGAAGTCATTAAAACCGTTTAAACGGTTTTCATGTTTCTCAACTAGAAAATTACTGGTGTTCCTATATCTGTATGAACTTCTGGACTAAGCCGACATAGAATACCATAAAATACTGCTTCAAATCAATACTTGCACTCATGCATCATTATCCTGCTGAAAAACAAGATAAATGACACAGGCACAACTTGATGTCACTTAATTCCTGATTATTGGGAAGTGCATTCCCACATTGTTTTAGCAAACAGCACCATGGTGTCTGTACCTTTGGTATTTGGGGTGTTTAGGCTCCCCTCCATAAGTTGCTTCAGGAAGAAAATTCAGAAAGCTGGCCAAGCAGCCAGTGAGAAACATAACTGCTCTAGAGGAGTCACAGATGTAAATTATCTTCTAACATTGCCAATGTCAAATGTGCAAAAAAAGCAGACTTCAAATAAGATGTGTATCCATGAAGTGAGACTCCCCTCAAACCCCTACCACAAAGAGCTCCCCACCAGCATATAGGGACAGAAACTCATTTGGTGGTCTCTATGACCAACCAAAATTTTCAGTATTTTATCAGTATAAAATTGAATTGATAGTTCCAAAAAGCTAGACCAAGATAAGGTGCTTCAAATTATTCTGTAAGAAAGAAGCCTGGGACCTTATCATGGTGATATCTGGCTGGCTTCTTGATGGAAGTGCAACCAGGTTTAATTTCCCTCATAAATTCAAAACTGTGCCAGTGAAAGTGATAGTTTTGTCCATGTAACAAGCTCGATAGGGTCAGTATTATCTCATGCATCTAGACAGAAAACTCTACAGCCTAATTAAGGCATACATGCTTTCCAGACTCAGTTTATGGGAAGCTCCAAGTCACATCTTATCAGTCATCACAAATGGCCACTGATAATGAAAAGCATAAACAGTGTGGGAAATAACATGATCACCATTACATTAGGGAAGGCAGAAGGGTTTACAGCAGAATTTAAAGCATTATTTGAACTTTCATTGCTTTTTTATGATTGATTTTTCTGTTTCTCCAACCCTAGCTTAATGCTAGCTAAGGAGAAGCCTGACAATATAGACAATCTTTGCAGCAGACAGGCACTGTAGACCTTCCTTCAGAAATATGCGGCTTTTAAAAGTAAAGCTGCTATCCCAATTTGGAGCTGGAGAACCCTGGCTGTTCCCAACAAGTTACTCTTCTGAGACATCAGGGAAAGAAAAGGGCCGATTCTCCTTAAACTTCACAAATAAGAGCATTCTCTAATCACTGGGTTCTTGACAATGAGAGGAAACAATGGTGTCTGTGATCTCTGCACACCATACAACCCAGCAGTGTTCAGGGAATGTCTGAGTACATCTCCTGAGCATGAGAGGCTGGTGACAAGTTTAGTTTGTAAATCCTTCAGACATTCACCACAGCTTTTGTTTCGATGTCTTTGCACCAAAGCTCATTAGCAGGAATGGAAGTAACTTTATGCACACCTGAAAGTTAAGCAAAGATCCAGTGGCACTTTAATATCCAACTCTGCAAAAAACTCATACAGGGTCTCAGTTCCTTGGTAAGAGTGTTCTACCAGATCCTGCAATGTCCAAACAAACCAGTCTGATACTCTATATTCACAGATAAACTCCTTAAATCCATGGGCTAGATGTCTAAGTGTAATAGAGTTTCTAAGACCGTTAAGAAATAACCTCATTTAGTTGTAAGAGTTTAGCTGGGGCTGAGTCACTCTGGTGAAGCTTGGTTAGCATGCAGCAAAACAGAAAATGTGACCATCCAGAGGAAGTCTGTGTTATGTGGATCATGTTCTTAATTTGCACTTGGTTCAGAGAGAAATCCCTTCCTCACTGCAAGCCACAATGCTGATGCTGGCAAACTTCTGGTGGTCTTGATGACTGGAAGCTGACCCAGCTTTTATTAGAAGGCACATCTGACAGTATTATTGGCAGCTCTGCTTTTGGCTGAGGCCTTGGTCAGCAATGCTGCTGCTACAGCTTGAAACTACAGCACCACTGGCACTTACCCCAGGAAGAGTGCCAGCTTCTAATGGGGACTGATCACAGCAAAATGAGACTTCTCAGAAGAAACAGGGATTCATTTTTGACATGATAAGTGAAGCATCTGGTTATTTTCAGTTGACACAGGAATGTGTGATCTTGCTACTATATCTAAACAAACGGATGCATTTATATTTGCACTAAAAGTTTAAAATTGTCCCTCACACATTGGTGTAAGTGCTTTGGCTCACTGATATGAAAGTATAAAATGGGTGAGCAGTTAGAAAACTTGCTAAAAAACAAAATAAATCAAAACAGACTTCTATTTGAAATATACCTTACAATGGTATAACATCTTCTAAGTGCAGGATTCATAGTATCTAGAAGCAGAACAGCTGTAGTGTGATATGCAAGAGCAAAAATGAAAACAGAAAGCTCACCTTGGTTGAAACTTATGATAAAAATCTTATTGTGCAGATGCATGAGTCATCTACAAGCTTGCAACCCCTCTTGTGAAGACAAAGAGACAACCTTTCTAATAAAATGAATTTACATCACTTAGCAAACATTAAATGTGCAATACATCTGTTACAGAAGTCAGTGCTATTTACCTAGTGTGATAGAGGTGCACGAAAATACACCCAAAGACTTAAAACACCAATCTACATGCAAGAAGATGCATAAATAAGGCAAAAACCTCTACTAAATCATGTCCAAATGGAACAAGAGCTCCCATCTTCCAGAGTCACCCACTAAGTGGTCCCTTTCTCTGGGAATATTTCTTAATGCTCAAGATATAAATAAGCTGATCGATCCCCATCTGTCACGACAGTTCATGGTTGCCAGGGGAACAATCTGAAAAGCAGAGCTTGACTAATGGTATCAGGTAACACAGCCCTTATCTGAAACAGAGAAGGCCAAACCTTGGGCTTTCATTTCAGGGATGAAGAAAACACCCATGAAAAAAGAAACAAGATTTTTCCCTGCTAGGTTAGGCAAAGCACCTCCACAGAGGTCTCTGCAGCTTTCATTTAACTTAGAGCAATGAAATCTGAGCTGAGTCCATGTTTGAGCATAAAAGCAAACATAGGTTAAAAAAAATATATAGGTTAAGCAATCATAACAGGTTTCCAGGCATTCTGGTAATCACTTCCTTGTCATGAGCACGTGGTGCACATACCACACACAGCATCCACCTATTACAGTAAAGCCAGAGTAGCTCTATGGGGGATTACAACTCCTCTCTTCCTCAGATTTCATGTTGTGATGGTTGCTATGATTAGACCTACCCAACAGCAAATACAACTTTTGTACCTCATGGGAGGGAAAAGAAAGTTACTCTTTTAGATAATGGATCCATTAGACCCATGAGTAATCAGACTATTTTTGCTCCTGCAAGGAGTCCCCACTTGTTTGGTCAAACCTGATGGAAACCAGCATGTTTCTTCACACCTCTGCTGTCCCCAGGCACGGGATTTTGTACAGAGGTTAGTGTGAAGTTCACCCACTAACAGCATACTAAAAGCAGCACTTTACTTTAGTTCTCCTGAGCAAACAACAGGTTTATGCCAAGTAACTCACACCTAAGGACCAAAGCTGAAGGTGGTCCTTTCTAAAGAATATCAAAGATCTACCCAAACACTTCCACACATCATCTCATCTTCCAACCTTCTTGTCCTCTGGCATTTCTTTCCTCCCTGACTAAAAGTATCTTAATTTCTTCAATAATGCAGCTTTGTATGTTTCACTCCCTGTTTCCTTTCCCCTATATTGTTTCAAATATGTTTACTTTTACTCTGAATTGACAGGACCAGTTTCTAATTTAACTTTCCACTAATGTCAAAGGGGCTAAAGATTTTATTCATAATAAAATTTGCATTTATCTGTGCTACCATTTCCAGCTGCCTCACCTCCACTCCCTCTGTCCTGTTAATGCCTCCCAAGTTTTCACACAGGCACAACCAGACTATTAACAATAGCTCTTTCCCAAATCCCTGCCATTATTTAGAGCTGACCACACCACTGCTACTGCCAGCTGTCCAGAACCTTGGGGCTAGTCTGTCAGCTTGCAAAATGTCCCAGGCCTGTGAGGTTGTGGCAACTAGATGTTGCTGTATTTCAAGATTCAGTAAACATTTTAAAGAATCAGTTCATAGCAGAGCCAACATAAATTGTGGCTAGATATGGTAAGCACTGATCATAAATGCTAATAAAAAATCACTAGGTCTATTAAATTTACTGAAATTTTTGTAATATGGACGCAGATTTTTTTTTTTTCTGATGATGTAAAATAAAGTATCTATATTGAGAGACTTGCCAGTCACTTGTGTTGCTTACTGAAAAAAGACTCAATCTTTCCAAGTTTTTTATTGTCTTCACTTTTCATAGCCCATCCCCTTAACATAAATTGTGCCCACATTCCATACAGTCACCCATCAGCAGGAGCCAGCAGGAGCATTTCATACACCTGCTTAGGCTGCCCTGCAAACTCCTTGTTTGATGAGATGGCACAGATAGTTAGAACCAGTAATTGAAATAATTGCTAATTTAAATAAATGCAAATTCTGCACAGGCAAAGACGTGGGAAGCAGTCCAGGAAAGATGTCACTCTTGTCATCCCTCATTAGCAGATTGCCCCTTCAAAGGACCAAGTTTCTGGAATCCCCACTAATCTGGAATCCCCGCTAATGCCGTTGCATAAATGGTTGATGGCAGGGTCACGCCCAGGGTACTGCAGAAGCACTGCCCGTCACCTGCTCCCTGTGGCACACCAGTTCTGTACTGCACACACGTGGAGTAACTCTCACCTCATCAAATGGTGTAGGTCCACACGCTGAGCCTCTAAGTGCACCCTTGAGCGCCTGCACTGGCACTCAGCCAAATGAATTCACCCAGCTTAAAGTTATACGACTGTTTACATACTTTATGAAAACATTTTATCTTCTTTTATGAGACATTATCTGCTTGTCTGTGACAATTTACGTGCTTCACTCCCAGCCCATTTCTAAACCATCTGAAGTGAAGAGCGTAAGTGGAAAGCCCTACTTTCATTTACAATCTGAGCAACTGCTTCTAGTAATTGAAGTTCAGAGAAAATAAGGTATTTTCTACGTTTGTCTTACTTTAACAGGCTTCTCCAACACGAACTCATAACAGGTGAGATTCTAGATGAATTTTATACAGATCCCCAAAATCATGTCAGTAACACTTCTCCACAGTTAGAACAAGCAAAGCACAGGTCTGCTGTTTCCAAATGCCACTGTCAATACAGGAGGTGATAGGTAAATTCCTCTTTTCTTTTCTTTCCTTTTTTTTTTTACCCTAGATTAGTCTGGTCATCCAAGGCTCCTGAGGAGAGCTCTCAGAGTGGTGTGGCAGCCATCCATGTTTCTAAGCCATGCATAACCCACTGGATGGGAGCAGACTGAGTGGCCTCCCAGGGTCACTGGCACTGCCAGGGCCTGCCTGGAGAGCCGAGCAGACCAGGGCTGGCACTAGATGAGGAGGCTGGGCCTGGGTGCCTGGGCATGGAGATGGCAGCGTGCTGACCCACACCCTGCCCAGGGAGGTGTCGGGCAGCCCCTCACTGCCGCCCCACGCACTGCGGCCTCGCCTTTGTGTGAGCTCCACCGTGTTTACTCTCCCACTTCCTTGTTCCACTCCAGTGCTAGGGCCATAAACCGCCCAGCTGGCACGGCTGAGCCCTTGGTAGCAGGGGCAGGAGGAAGAGGAGGGAGGGGATGGCGGCCATCCCCTGGCTCTGTGCTGGGAGGGCACCCCAGGTGCCGCCCTGGTGGTTGGGAGCGCAGCCCTTCCCCTAGGGCTGGTGCCACCATCCCCGGTGGGTCTCTCATGCCCACTGGCCACCCTCATGCCCGTGTCCAAGGACACACCAGGAGAAAACAAGACCTATTTCCCCTTCTTCTCGGACTTCAGGGGCGACAATGCGACGGCCCTGCGCATCGGCGAGTCATCTGCCCTGGCCTTCATCTTCCTGCTGTCGTTGGCGGGAAACATCTGGGGCATCTGCCTGCTGGTGAGGCGGCACCGCCGGCTCTGCGCCGCCAACTGCCTCGTCCTCAACCTCTTCTGCGCCGACCTGCTCTTCATCACTGCCATGCCCGTCATCGCCGTCGTGCGCTGGACCGAGTCCTGGGTGCTGGGCAACTTCGTCTGCCACCTGCTCTTCTATGTGGTGAGCCTGAGCGGCACCGTCATCCTCCTCTCCCTGTCGGCCGTCAGCCTGGAGCGCTTCGTCAGCATCGCCCGGCTGCGCCACGCCGCTTTCCGCCGCCGCAAGGTGCTGGTCGCCGCCTTGCTCCTCATCTGGGGCTTGGCCGCCCTCGCCACCCTCCCGCTCTGCTGCTTCTTCACCGTGGTGCGGCTGCCCGGCCCCGCCGGCCAGGTGAGGGCGAGCGCCGGGCGCGCCCGCGGCAGCCGGGCCGGGCCGGGCCGGGCCGGGCCGGGGGGCTCCGGGACCGACGGCGGCGGAGGCTGGTCCGCCTCTGCCACGGCGGGACAGCGGCAGCGAGGAGCTCGCCTGCAGGGCGGGCAGCGCTCTGTGTGCCGGGCACTTGCGAGGCTGCGCCCGGAGCTCCCCCGGCGCCCCCCCGGCCCGCTCTCCCCGCGGACCGTCCCGTTAGGTGGGAGCCGCGCATCGGCTGAGAGTCTCTCTGCGTTCCTCAGTGCGGCTCAGAGATCCCCTTTTCAGCTCATTTCCCCTTACCGAGGGATCAGCATCCTGGGAGAGTTGCCCTGCATCCACCGCCCTCTCTGTACAAAATGGCCATGCACAGATTTTTCTGCCTAATATTTTGAAATGTATACAAAAGTGCACCCAACATGACACTTGAATAAATTATTACCTGTATGTTTCAATTTTAAAGTTTCCATTACCATTTGATAAGAAGTCAGTGGAAGTATTCCAGTTGTGGACATATCTATTTGTGATTGGATGGGCTTTTAAAGCCATCAAATAATATATTACTTAACTGCTTTGTCTAAATAGAAAGCTTTCACAGTCTTGGTTTAGTCTTGGTTTAGCTGTTTTTTAAGCATAGAGGGAGATAAGAACAATGTTGTACTGAAAATAATGGTACAATATTACTTTTCTTAATTTTTTTTGTAAATAGGACATTCAAATTTGCACTCTGGATTGGCCCAGCACTGCAGGAGAAACAGTCTGGGATACAACCTTTGCCATTGTTTTCTTTATGATACCAGGATTCATCATTGTCATCAGTTACTCCAAAATCTTACAGGTATGTTTCTCTTTTAAATTTTGTTGTAAAAGAAAGGGAGGTAAACAGTAACTCACTAGGCATCAGCATATTGTCACTAATTTCAAATACATGTAAAGGGAACAAACATAATTTTTTAAATAAATTATAAGTATGCAATATGAGGAGTATTTCAACCTGCATATAACAGCCTGTATACTTCAATTAAGAACATGCTTCAACAGCACATTTCCAGAGGCCCAACACATGCTTTGACTTCTTTTGTATAGTATTAAATACACTTTTTCATTTATGTGCTGTTCATATTTAAAGACTGTCAATCTCCTAAATGCTGAAAGAGTCAAGCATTTGAAATAACTAAAAACTAGTTTTTTGCTTTCCTTGAGCCTAAATTCGTCATAAGGGATTTGTAAGAAGGCAGAGAAAGGCAGGACTAGAAAAAAACCCATCCACTTTTTGATCTACTGGCTTTCTGCATGTGTCTTTAGTACACAGATCTCATTAGATTATACTTAATCCTCCACAATTTCAAATATTTGTAAATTAAACCATCTGCTTCCACTTTCTTTCTAAGTGGATGATGTTTAACATATATGCTGAAATATAAGCCAAGCCACCCAGCACCACAGAGTTTTAACCTATAGTCTAGCAAGCATTATATTAGCATCTAATTTCCTTTTAAACTATCCAAAACCACAGTGACAAAGCTAGAAATCTTCAAACCAAGCACTTCAAACTAGTCACTGCAATGCCTAGTTTTTAACAACCACCCACAAGATCCTTGCATCCTTTTTTTGGATAATTAAGCTTCTTATAGAATATATAAAAAATTATAGGTTTTGGAAAGGAACCTCAACATACATAGATTATTGAGCAAGGAGTTAACTGATAAAATGCTGAACACCAGTGGGCTGTGGATGCACACGCCAGAGCTGGATGTAGGTGTAAAAGGAACCTAGGACCTAGAATCTGGTCTCCACATATCCTTGCCTATTGATCAAACTTAAACTTGTAGTAAAAGTCATCAGCCTGTAGTTTCTGTGCTGTCTATTAGCTCACTATAAACTGGAGCTAAATGCATTAGGTGAACGTCTTCTTCTAGTAAAGTAAAGCACTTGCAACCACATACACATAGGCAAAGAGTGTAGAGTAACTCACTGGAGAGTGAGTCCTTTGAAAGAACTGCAAAACACTGCAGGCCAAGAAACGCCACAGTTCTTGGTCAGAGGCCAGGGATGCTGTTTGTGAGTCCTGTCCTTGCAGACTCCAGATTACAGGTAAATTTATAAAACAAAATGGCACATAGGGAGCTGGAAACCAAAAGCAGGAATATTGGATTACAAGACATGCCCATGCTGCTCTGCTCCTGTTTCGTTTCTAACTTGCTAAGAGAGATGCTAAAATACATTACCATTTCCCCTGAAATGAGGAATGCTTGAGGCCCATAGCAAGATATAATTGAATCTTCTCTCTCTCCAGGAAGCAAGCAGAACTGAACTGGAGAATGTCTCAATCCCTAAGTCATTCCCAAGAGCAGACTCTCACTTTGTGAGAATGCTCCATTATTCCAGTGCACACGTAGCATGATTCTCAGTATTGCTGGAAGCAGTGCCAAGCATTCATGTATTCACATTACAACATCGATGATGATGATGAGGATGATGAGGACTGACTACAGATACAAGACCTGACATTTTTTAACAAATATACACTACTGCAAATGTGTACTTCACAATTTACTCTGAAACTATTATTTTTACATAACACTTCCCAGAACCCTGGCAAAAATGATAGATTAGATGCCATGATTTATTTGGTTTTCCATTGTCTCTCAGGCAAGACTTTGTCAGAGGCTAGAGCTAGGGAAGATATCTTAGTTCTGACTTCTAAGTTCCTGTTTGTCCAAGTGTGGTCCAGATGCCAAGGATAGGTATCTATACTGGGCAGACCAAAAAGAGATCCACAACATACCACTGCCACCCCATTTCTCTTGAACACTTTCTTAAGAAGCAGTTGTGTCTTATTTGCCATAGTCCTGATGACTCTTGCATTCTTAGTTCTAGGCTGTGCAGCTCCTGCAGGAAAGACAGGAGGTATTTATATGGGACAGATAAAAATATATCTGATGAGGACATTCTGTAGCAGTTTTAAACAGTGGAGACTGAGAAGTGCACACAACCCAGTTTTCCTACTTTTATATTAGAAGTGGATATTAGTCCTTTGCATTTTGTGAAACCTTCATTCTGAGACAGGTTAGGCGCTCTCTGAGAACAGCTCTTGGTTTTGGACTGTTTGGAGGAGTTAACCTCCTTTCTGAATTCCAGATTGTACAGCAGAAGATCATCAAGCTGGCATAGTTTTACATGCATAGGACATCAGAATACTCTGCTCCTTTTAAATCGGGGAAGCAGCTAGTGATCCTGTCCCCTTCTCAGCCTCAGAAGCTGCTAAAAAACCCACTTTTGGTTCATGGGTTTTAATTTATACACTTACATTCTATCGAAATATTTAGAAGATGTCTAGATTACTAATGAGTATTTATCTCCTTGACAAATTCAGAAAACTCCTAACAGAATGACAAATTACTCTCTCTCTCTAAACATTTTCATCCTTACCTGTACCAGGAAGTTAAAATGTTGCTAGTATTAGTGTTATCCTTACTGTAGTTTCTGCTAAAGGGAAGAGTGGCAGGTGGAGCCTTACCTTTTGACTTTCCTAAGGATTGATCAAAGCCTTGATCAATCAAGCCTTGATTGATCAAGGCTTTTGAAAACACCCCTTCCTTATGCATGCAGGGGATAAAGTGGCATCTCAGTTATTTAACACAAATCTTTGCTATATATTTCCATTTTATTTTATTTACATCAGAGGTATGAATGTAACAAACTTAATTGCATCATGCCAACTTCAGGGAAGACAGGGATGTAGAGCAGAGGATTTCAAGTTTTCTGCAAGCCCACTGTGTCCAATATTCTACCTAATGACAGATGATGCACACCTGTCAATACTAGGTTTCCAAGCTACCCATAGTCTTGTTTATTACATCAGAGAGTACTTTTAAAAGACACAGATTTTTATAGTGACTGAAAGGATCTGTAAGATTTCATAGAAAGGAATTGTGATTACTGTCTGAAAAGCTAAGTGTGACACAAAACAATGCACAATCTCATTCACATTTAAAATAAATTATTGTAATAAATTCATGCTCCTTCTAATACCTACCTTATAATATCAGCATGGCCATAAGAGAATTGAATCATCTTCCTTCTTGCACATCAACAGGATTGTTAACTATGTTCCAGTTTGCATTTGTGAAAAAAATCAATGGGTTTCTTTAGATAGAACAAATGAGGTCATAATTTGAATTTAATGGGATTTCATGAGTAATTAAGACTGTTCTATGCTGGAAAGCATTTGTGACTGGTAGAGAGCCATGAAAAGAACAACCACTTTGCCTAATGAGATAAATTCACAGCTAAGTGGAAAAAGAACTGCTAGTGAAGTGAGAACATTTGAAATGGAACCATGGACAAAAAGTACAAATGAATTCTGCAATGTGGTTTTTTGTAGTCACTTTTCAAAAGAAAACATCATGTGTCAAGATTTATGTTTTCTCTTGTAGAAATATGTTTCAGTGAAAGTTGCTTTCTTCTCTTTTACTGCAGATTACAAAAGCATCAAGAAGAAGTTTAAATGCTGGTTTAGCCTACCCAGAACATCATCAGATTCGTGTTTCCCAGCAAGACTACAAACTATTCCGAGCCCTTTTTCTGTTGATGATCTCTTTCTTCATTATGTGGACTCCAATAATAGTAATTATTTTTTTAATTTTAGTTCAGAACTTCAAAAGAGATTTAAATATTTTGCCATCAGTTTTCTTCTGGATAGCATTATTTACTTTTGCCAACTCTGCTGTCAATCCAATTCTGTATAATGTTGCCCATTTCAGACGTAAATGTCAGCAAATTCTTCTCTGTTGTACAGGGAACCCTGAAAGGCATGGGGCAGGTACAGAAACCACTGCAAGAAGAAGTAACCATGAACAGCCACATTTGTCTTTCATTACCAGATAATTATTTAAAGTCTGAGCTGTGCCACACTTTGGATTTTGTCTATGCTATCCCAGGTCACATAGGTCATTATGTTATAGTATTACATGCCAGAGGAGGAAGAAAAAAAAAAAGTATTTTTAATTCTTGCAGGTAAAATGCTCTTGACTTCATTGTTTTGCCCCAGTAAGATTTGGACAATTTAATTTAAGGGATTGAATTCTCCTCTTCTGCTGAAATAAATAGAAATATGGCAGTGAACTTGGTGAATGTAAAATAGTCGAATTAAGTACTTTAAATTTTCTAGTGAAAATGTTCATCCTCAGAAAGTATCTGCTTTTTTTAAAATCCAGTTTTTAAAGGGAACTTGATTAAACACTTCAACCAGTTTGGTTCCATCTCAAATTAAAAATATGGACTTAATACATGTGAATTAACAAGTAAAGAATAAATAAATAAATGGTTAATTGTCATGTGTAAAATGGTTGTTTTAAAATATGCATATTTTTATGTCTTCATTAGTCATATAATAAAGTTAATTAGTAGGATCACTGAAATTCCTTTCTCTTTTCTAAATGATTTCTAGTATTTTATAGGGAAAATATAATGTTGTAGTTGAAAAGAAAATACATATACTTGGAGGTTTATGATAAATAATATTTTAGTAAGAAATTGAAACCACTAAAAAAAGCAAGATTAAATTCTCAATTATCACCAGGCACGAGTTCAAAAGAGTGCACTAAGATAACAGGCCACTAATGAAACCAATGTGTACATATGTACAGATTTGCATACAATTTGCATTCTGTGTAATCCAAGTTTATTAAAATGTTTCATTGGTTTATTAACAAGGCAAGCTACACAGCTCAGATAAATATATTGAAAATCTAAATGGACCCATTTAAAGCATTTTCCAGAGAACTTCCAGAGAGCACATGATCAATGTGTTAACTTTACATGCATGGTGCTGTTACATGGCTTCTTTCCATAGGGTTGGATGTCCTTAAGAGCAAAATCCTGAAACACACAAAAACCACAGTTGTGTTTATCAAACACTCCAGACAAAATTTAATTACACAAACTTTCACCAAATTTAAAATGCATACATATCTAATTTCTTTAAAATGCTCTTGAGTCCAGCAGTCTGTTACTTGTAATAATAATGCCATTACCTTACTCTGCAGTTTATAATTCTAAGGAATTTTCAACTCAGAAGAAAACAGGAATTCATCCAATCCGTTACCCTCTCCTTAGAATTTTAATACTTTTGCAGACAACATACTGGGCAGATCAATGATAGAGTATCTTTACTGGATTTAAAAGAGTCTCTACTTTAACAAGCTTCTAGTTATTTGCCTAAAAAGAATTAATTTGGGAATGTCTTTCAACAAAATAAGAATCTTCTGACCCCCAAAACTTCTAATAGCAATAGTAAATTAGCAGAAGGATTATACCACTCTTTATTTCTCAATTGCTGCTCCTAAGAAATGCTAACAGCAGATGCAGCTTTCAATTCTACTGACATGACACTGTATTTACAAGTACTCTCACTTAATGGCAGTGTCTTAATAGACACTGACATTACACAGCTTAAAGTTACTTGAGCTATTACTTTGAGAGACTAAGTGTATCATAGCTTGAGCTGTATTTGAGAAGGAGCTACCATCATAAATGCAGGGTAAGTTAGAACAAAAAACTTTCATTTCCTAGGCTTCTCTTTTGCCTTGGTCAGCCAGTACAGATATTTTAATTTTTTTTAAATCAAGTAAGTTTTGTACATCTATTAGTTGAGCAAGCGCACACACACACACACACACACACACACACTCTTAATTAGCTTCAAGACATAGGCAGAGTGTGCACAATTAGCAACAGATACCAGGCTATTCTTGCAGCTTTACTAACATCAGTCAGAATTTTATCACAGTAACAATGGGATGCAGGTCAGTGCAGACGATTGAAGTTGGTTTGTTTTGGTAATAATTCTGTAGCTCTTAATAGCAGAGTTAAAATGAAGGCAGTAAGGGTTCCAACCCACACATAAGGAATTAAGCAATTTTTGTAAGAGTTTCTGATATGAAGCTTCCAAGATTTTATTTTTTTTCCAGTTTAGCTCACAATCATTCCCTCAGTCCCAAATGTGCTTGCTTTTCAGGAACTTTGGCTTGATGATACTGGAGAATTCAGAATCAACTAATAATAGGGTCCCGATCAATAAAGGGGAAAATGCAAATTGCTGGCTTTAAGTTTAAATTATACTTTGGTGCTGGGCTTATAAACTCTGGCATAAAAAGGTACCCAGGCCCTTATTTTCATTTGCAAATTACAGAGCTCACACAGTCATGTCAGACACTGCACTCAACACCTAACATCTGAGTATAAATTAGGGTAGCAAACAAAGAACAGTGTGACTTGGTAGATTAGATATTTGATATCCATAACAAACAAGAAGAAGCATGATCAACTTTTAAATTATCTTAGACTCAATAGAATAACCCTAAACATCTGATTATTTGGCTTTCTCAATTTCAGAAATTTTTATTCTTGCTGGACTTTATTTGAAAAGCGGGGAATGTAGGATTCTAAACAGAGAAGTATCATAAATTTATATAATGACATTGTTTATTTTATATCCTACCACTTATGCAGTCATACAAATCATTCCCAAAAGTTGATTCCATTTGCATTTATGATGTCTCTTATTCTTGACTGTTCTAAGTTTCAACTGACAACTCATGTTGTCTCCAAATTCTCATTCAAGACAATTTTTTTTTCATTGTTGTCAGGCACTTTTCCCAGGTCATTGATCAGTACTGTAAACAGCACCTACTTCAGCAGAGTAGGTGGCACCCTGTTCTTCAAGGCACCCTGTTATCAGCACACCACTTTACAGCACGGCAGAGCATTACTCTGTGTTTATGGATCAGATGAACAGCCAAGAGTGCCACAACAGCTGACTTTGCTCATCTGTTCTGTCTTTCTTTATAAGACACAAAAGTTCCTTCAGTCAATCCCAGTTTGTTCTAGCATGTCATTGGGAAAAGCCTTTAATCTTGATTTACAGATTTCAGTGATGAAGAACATACAATAGCTCTTGGTAAACTGTTCCAAAGGTTAGTGACCTTTGGAGTTAAACAAATGGCTGTTTATTTCTCCTCTAAATGTGTCCAGTTTAAAGTTCCATCCATTTAAATTTATTATTTCTGTGTTTGCAAGTCCTTTTCTATCCAATTCCTATTGCTTGTGTGGACAAGGACAGACTTTGCTCAGGTCAGCCTTTAACCTCTTCTTAAGAGGAAAAGATTAAAATCTTTAAAGCACTCACTAGAGGACACATTTTACAAACTTTCAATGATTTTCTCTGTTTTTCTTCGAAACTTCTAATTCATCCTCAATACTTTTTCCAGTTATGCTTGTCACCTAATGTGACATAGCAATTAGACCTCTGCCAAGCACAAGAATCTCCTGTGAGTCTTGGTTTACACATCCAAGAATCATATTAACTCTTTTGCTCACATCATTACATTGGGAGTTCCCATTCAGCTGACTCACCAGTCAAGTCTTTCATAAATAGCATGTCTTCCAGGATGTGAGGGGTGGGGAGGGAGTAGGGAGAGGTACTACTATTTTATTTGTTCTAAATATTTTGATTTTTCCCCTTCTGGGAGAAATTCCCCACTCTGGGTGTAATTCTTATCATAAGAAACATTATGATTTTTTCTAGATTATTACCATTTGGCCTTTTGTATTGCACTTGAGCATAAGTGAGCTAATTCCCTGTGTTGTAAGCTCAGCCTGACTATATGACTCAATGTAGTATCATGCTTCCAGTATGAGGGCTATGTCCCTCTTCCACAGCTTTTTGTGAAACAGTTAGTATGAGGACTTGTGAGAAAGAGTCCTCTATAAGGTATCATTCCAAGACTTCTATTTAAAAAGGCTTAAAAGCCTTTCTGAAGAATTTCTCAAAAAAGTATTTGAACAAAGGCAAAGAGATGTGATAAAAGCTGCCCAATTACTTTCTACCATAGCTATGAAGTTTATCCTTAATATGTTTACTCACACTACATTGATTTAATTGTTTTACAACTTCCTCTAATTACTGTTTCAGCTGACCTGATATGCTGCATGAAAAACTATGCACCTCAGGTCTCCTTCAGATAAGGGAAGTAAAAGTTGGAAATAACCTACTACAAGCTCCAGTTTTCAAAAGACAATGTTACAGCCACTAAGTAAAAGGCTTTATGCATTTGATATCTAATGAGCAAGAGAATCCCAGTGCTTTAGTCATTAAACCCTGAATAAAATTCTTCAGAAAAAAAAAGTTCTCACCATTATGAGCGATAACTCTGTATTTTCTGTCCAAACAGAGGTCTATTTGCCTTTGTCTGACAATTTTCAGCGCATCTGGAGGCAATCCCTTGGGGTCCCGGGAGAACACAAAGGAGTAGCTATCAGCACAAGTGCCATCTGCATTTAGTTGGCGGCAGGAGTAATGAAGAGCATATGTATCATAATCTGTGTCCACTACCCAGTGATCATCATCTGGAAGAAACCATAGCAAAGAAGAAAAAGTGTTAGAAATACCAGTGAAATCTAGTAAATCAGAAAGGACTGCTGCCATAACTCTTTTAAAGAAAATACTATGATGAAGATCGGTACAAGTTATAGCAGATTAGCTTTTCTTTTATTCCTGTGTCCAGTATTTAATTCCATGTTTATTTTTTAAAAGAAAATAAATAGGGACATGCTCAGCCTGCTCAAGGTGACTCAAACCCATAAATATTTTCCTGCCAGGGATGTAACTTAGACTGCATTTTTAAGGAAAAAGATAATCATGCAGTTTGCTTGTGTATTAGAAGTATTTGCTACAAGTTCTGCCATAAACCCTCTTCTTAAAACACTGTTACAACTTCAGATAATTCTAAACTATATAGCTATGTAACCTGACAAAAGTCTGGTCATGCAGACACTCTGTTCTAACAAAGTGAGGCTGTTTCAGTGTTTGCAGTAAAAGCTGATATATCTGCAGCTTCCTCTCCTGGAGCCAAAGATTCTCCCTTGCAGTACATCTGCA